GGGGGCGCTTACCAAAGAGGCAGACAAGGGAAGTTCTTCTGAATCGGGCAGTGAGTATTGTGGTGCACAGTGCTCTCAGCTACCACTACTCACCAGTTCCTTGTATACCTACTTCCGTGCACACATGATATATACACGCTACACTCAGCATATAGCACTTAAAATAACTCTAGAATGTCAAGGTACATTCGCTAAATCGTAACCGAGTCCTGTCTTCCTGAAAAGGAAGAGTAAAATATCTGACTGCCCGCTGATCCCTAGCGGGCCAGCGCCTCAGCTGCACCGCCAGACTTACAGGTACCCCAGAACTTTGGTTGCTGTCGAGCACTCCTAGCCTGAAAGCCTTATTTCCTGTCGTAAAGTGACTTGATTTATTTCAAACAAGATATTTTTTGCATGCTTTTGGCCGGATGGACATCTTGAGCTCCATCCTGCTACAAGGTACAATTAGACTGCCATTGACGTGCTTGCTCGTGCGACGAAGAAACTCCTTCGTGTTTGAAAGCCCCTGCATAAACAAATACCCGCAGCTTGACATTGAGCGCTCCTAAGTTTGCTTACAAAGTGCTATCCAATCACTTCGTTTGGGTTCGTCGGCGCACTGTCCAGCCTCTGCAAAACAAAACGAGAAAATGCGGTTAACAGGGCAGTCCATGCATAGTTAAGCGAAGGGATAAGTGGAAGTCGCCCACCAACTTGAAAAGAACCTCTGCTGAAGACGCAGACAAGGGCAATTCTCCTCAGTCGGGCAGGCAGTGTCGTGTGACGGAAGCTTTCCTTCGAGTTTGAAGCTCTCTGCATAAAATATGTCCACAGCTTGACACTGAGCGCTCCTAAGTTTGCTTACAAAGTGCTATCCAATCACTTCGTTTGGGTTCGTCGGCGCACTGTCCATTGTGTTTATAATGATACTCCTAGAAACCGGCTGATGCCCACATTTCATATGAAAATTCATCTGCAGAGGGAGCTTCTCGTCCAACAGAATACCTGGCTCAATGCTTGTGTGGTAAGGACAACAGAACAGCCATTCGGTTCCGCTAAAAATCTGTTCGTCTTTTGCTGCGAGAGGACTACAGTGGATTCACGAGTTTGGATGCTTGAGTGAGTTGTGCCCTTGGGAGGAAACTAGACCCATTCCACCAAAGTTGATTAGAGAACAACGAGCTGTGGCCAACCCATTTGAATCCCAGCTAACGAACAGCAGCTCTGCAGTTGCTCTGGCTACTCCACAGAGTTGTCCCTCTTCGTTCACTACGGGGCAGAGTTCCATCCCCTTTCTAGCGCACTTGACTTCCATCAGCCGTAGTGCATTTGGAAAGTGAAGAATAGCGAAGACGCACTTGTTGTTTTTAGATGTATGAACCCAGCAGCAGATGCCTTAGCATGTTGAAACCGCATTTAGTTATACTTTTTTCTTAACAAGCCTGACTTTGAAATAAGGATTGATTTGGAGGTAAGCCGGTTGTCAACAAACTTCACGCGTAAACTCGCCTAAGCGGTTGTCTCTGCATGCTCTCTCTGCGTAACCCCCGGCACGTACTACCAATTCGAACAACCGACGGTAGGCCGAAAACGACCTCTTCTTCCTTAGTTTGATGAGTCCTCTCATACGCTTTGTGAAGGACTGCCTTGCCTTCCCAAGGCGTATCTCATGGGAGGGACAGAGTAGAGAAAAGAATTGCACAGGTAAATATCGCAGAGAGCAGCATCTCCGCTAGGTGCTACTGTCCAGTGCATCGAAATCTTAAGAGGCTCTCCTTCCGTAAATACTGCGCACAGGAAAGGTAATGAAAGCGATGGAAGCTCTAGTTTCATTGCACGATTAAAGAACTCCATTATCCAACCTCGGATTTGTCGGCACTTTCAAGTGCATTTCCGTTCAACCTGTACTTTCAAACATCCATATATATATATATATATATATATATATGGGGGCCCCTGTACGTTCTTTGAGGTGGGTTGCACGCTGTCGTTAATTGCCTAAAGAAGAACACAGAAGACAGTGGAAACTACCTGTTCCGCTGGCTTTACAAGCATGCTTTCGCCAAAAGGTACCCAAACCAAAACGTAGCAAAGATGTTCGAGGACAATAGCTGATGCCTAGCGGGTGCGTGCGGGTGCGTTTGTTTTTCTTACAGGAGTGTTGTTTTGTCAGGTGCTGTGCTGATGCTACGATGCTACTGAAAAAAGACACCGTGAGGACACTGCAACGCTAGTCGCCACTGCACACGCCACATCTGTGAGGAGCTGAAAATGTATCCGTGAATGCGTAAACGCACCCTTTGTAGACGAGCGTTTCTTCTACCTGGTAGTTTTGCCGCTCTTAGTTTCAGGGACCGTCAGCCAGTCTTCTGTCGAGATAACAATCTGGCGGAAGCTGTGATCCCACAAGCTGACATGGTCCAGTCGCCTTTAGGGTTCCGCGCAATTATTTTCGCCTTGCTTCATGCGTTCCGGTCTAACCGTAGCGATTGAACCTTCAATTTCTCCGTATGCAAGCTCCGTCTTGTGTCCGCATTCCTGCTGTTAAACTACTTCCGGTTATGTATATTCCCAGCTCTTGCACCCTATCAAAGCGCTCCATACAGCGCTCGCTGACTAAGATCTAGCGGCTTGAGCCGGCAACACATATTCTGCCCCGTGTTCACCTCCTATGTTTTAGTCAAAGTAAGAAATTACTCAGTATGAAAGTGCTGATTTCGGGGAAATGCAAGCCTGTTGCTTAATGGCTACTGAGTTCTACACTTGCACGGAAGTAATGTGTAGAGCAAAGAGCCGGGTATACGCCATTCAAAAGGTTGCTGTCTGTTGAGAGGAAGGGAAACTGCTGTATTGTGGAGCAACAGCACACACATCAACACCACTCTTTGTTTCGTATCTGATCTACTTGGCAGAGAAATGCCACGATTATTCACTGTGGCAACTGGCCAATTCGTCTTCTTCTCCATTGTCCCGTCAAGCCTATTTGAACAGCGGGTGCCCTCTTGCAACCACAAAATGTGAAGCGCATCCGCTGGTTGTAAAGGAATGTATGCACCAAATGGGGACTTATATATCTCGCTGTATGTGGAATTGGATGAGGGCGCTTCCAGCTGATAAGGGGTCAAGGATGCTGAGCAATGGAAAGTCTCGTATATTCGGCGGAGGACCATGCAAAGCTTCACCCTTGCTCAAATGAGCAACGACCGACTCATAAACGCATGTATGCATGCTGGTAGGCGTGCTTTTGAACTAACAGTGACAATGCGATTATCGCTCCAGGTAAATTACTCGCTCTGATCGTGCTGACGGATAAATACGCAATACGACACACTCGATTTAGCTGACTTCGTCAAAAAACGCATTTTGGTGGGAAAACTACTAGGATTGGCGAAAGTATTGGACCGGAAGATAGAGATCTAAGGATAAGCGAATCAGTGGCAATATGGAGACAACCGCAGCAATGTTGTTTGCTCTTCAATAAGCTGGAACATAGACCACAAAAGCCTAGTAACTGTGCTCTGACGACAATGTTTAAGCACGTGATTTCGGTAGTTCAAGTGGCCAAATCGAAGGAGCAGCTCACCGCTGCCAATATCGTGAGCTCATAGAGAAGTGAAGCGTGGTGCGATGCACCACGCTTCACTTCTCTATGAGCTCACGATACCCTCCCCAGTCCTCCGGGGCGACGTAGTTTTTGGTACTCATGAAGTGAAGCAGGACAGTGGAAGGGCCGTCCTCTACACCGAGCATGTACTGTGTACGCACAAATATTTCCCGAGCGGTATACCATTCGCCTGCTTCATAATGTCTAAATCCCGAGCGAAACGTACCAAGAAATTCCTTTGTCAAATGTTCACGCATAGACACAATGTCAGGATCAGTCTCAAACATTGCAGAAATCGATGTGCGACTCGACCAAAGCTTGTGTTTTTCGCGGAGACGCTGCTGTCTTTGAAGGGAGGTCGTGGTTTTTGTGGCAACGGTTACAGGAGTCCTCGTTGGGACCTGTAGTCTGCCAGGGTCTAAATCAACTGTATAGAGGCCTAGAGGCACCTTGGAGCCCTTTACGGTCGCTCGGTCAATTTGGCGGCAGTATGTCTGTGTCTGCGGAGACATTATGTCGTACAGGTCGGACGATATGAGGATCGTTACTCCATACTGTTTTGTTGCTGCTTCCAGCCTAGAAGCCATGTTCACATTTGGGGACAAATATGAAGCGTCAATTTTGTATTCAGATCCAATGGCGCCCTCAATTGCCCATCCAACGTGTAGGCCAAAGCCCATCTTTACCTTCCAGCCGGTTCCCATGCGTTCAATGATCTCAGGTATTTCCCTGTATTCAGCCAAAGTGTGTGACTTGTTTATCCCAGCTACAACTTTGACAAACGACATCACTGCCATATCTGCCAACTTGTTGCTCGTGACAGTGTCAATAATCTGCTCTTTTACTCCGTCGGCGATCTCTCTCTCTGGAAACTTCCAAACGAGCAGAAACGCATCTCCTATATTTTTGTTCGCGCTCCCCGAGAACTGGTCCACAGTTCCGTGGACGATTTCCGCGATCTGATTCACAAACACCATAACTTTTTCCTTCAGGATCTCTGTTGCGTCGGTGAAGTTTCGGATATCACAAAAACCAAAAATGGCTTCCATCTTGCGCCCTTCTATCATTGCGTTTATGTTTCCATCTGCAGTGTGCATGTTCTTAGCAATGATTTCAGCTCCCGCCTCTCCAAAACCAAGGGCTAGCAGACCCCCTATCTTTATTATTGTCTTTTCTAAAATGGCGGTTTCATAGTTCTCCTTCTGTGTCTTGGAGCTTTTACCACCTATCCAAGTTTTCAGTGCCTGTAGGGGATCGCCTTTTGCGCTGTCGGCACTATCTTCACTTTGACGGTCCTCTCCATCTGCGTTCATGTTGGTCGCCGCAAGAGGATTATTTCTAATTTTGTTCATCTTTGTAATCATTCGTTCGATTGGCCTCAGAATGAGAGTATTGATGTCATGGTTGATTGCCACTGTGCCAATAACCATAATTAGGCACACGAACACTGTTTTCAGCATGCTCAAGGCACACTCCAAGTGCGAGAGTTCGCGCTTGTCATACACAGCTTTAAAAGTTGCAATATTCTCAGTCACGCATGAGGATGCTTTTTGAGTTTCCAGCGGTCCCGCCACCTCCTCAGATGGCCCTTCACAAAATGCAGAGGAAAATATTTCCCTTTCACTCGGTCTCAGTGAGTCTATTGATTCCAGTTCATCGGTGAGCATTGTGCCGTTGACAGCGCTTGCAAGGAGTAGCTCCTCTGCGCTTTGGGGGGGTAGCTCCAACGGATGATCGCAACTCTTGAAGCCAAGGCATGCCATATCAACGAAAATTCGCCCCGCCGACTCAGTGACGTGAGTTAAAGGGAGTGGAAGCTCTATATACACCAAATTCTGGGGGTTGATTTCCCCTTCTACATAGCCGATGCCGTGTTTGCGGTGGTAGTTGATGTAGTAAACGGCATTCATGGAATACATCCGCCACCAAGGGGCTGTATTGTATCTCTTAGCCGCTGTAGCAGACTCTGCGACGCTGTCCAATCCTGATTGTTCCGAGCTCGTCCTTGAAAGGTATTGATCCTCTGCAAGAAATGGTAGCACTATAGTCATAACGAGGATTATGTAGATCACCTTTCTGGTAGTTCTATCGGTAAGTTCCCTCCCGATTTTGCTGTCATATTCACCTCCATCATCCGCGACCTCTGCCTCTTCTTCCAGCCCGACGTCGTCAGGCGCACGTTCACCAGGCTCTAGGAACAGGTCCTGTTGATACGTAACTTCGTCCTTAGGTTGAAATCGCAGTGCAAGCGTTTTGTAGAGTTTTGCAACTCGGATAAGTCTGACCAGTCGCATTACCCTGAGAACCCTAGCTACTTGGGAGCCTGCCTTTCCCGCACGTGACACTTGCATTACATCGCTAGAAGCCATTTCGGCATTTTCTTCGACAACCAGGTACATCTCATAGTAAATCCAAGACAGGTCTAGTATCAAGGTTCCGGTGGAAATCAAGTCAAACCAAAAGAAAGTGTGCCATGTGTAGTTTTCTTTGCCAACGCAGCTAACGAATATCTCCAGTGCAAATATTACTAAGCAAATGATAGTGATAATGTCGAAGGGCAAATCAGCAGTCACTGAGGTAGCCCACAGCTTCAGATCGTTCCCGAATAAAGCATAGATCGTTGCAATCGTTGTTACTATCTCGGTAACCTGATGTAGAGCAACGAACGTGCAAAACGAAACAAATTTGGAATCACTCTGGCCGCCTTTCTTTGTGGAAGCCACCGAACTGTGCCGCTGTTGGCGGTCCATCTCCGTGGTGTTCTAGCAAAGATACGTCTCCTGGAAGATCTGCTGTGTCGCCCTTCACCCGCGTTTGAGAGGAATTCTTCACTCGCAATGCGTTCCAGTTTGACCTAGTACAAAAAGGATGCAACTTTCATCCTACTAGACGTGCCATGCCGTACTCGGAAAGTGGATAATGCGAGCGAACGGCAGTGCCGGTAGATCCTGAACAGCAATGCTGCAGCAGTCGGAAAATGATGCTAGTCAGCTGCCGGGGATTTGCTGCTTGCTCCTTAGTCAGAGTACACTACCTCCGGGCATGCACACATAAATTGGTAGAGCCCAGCTGGCAACGATTTCGAAAACAGTTGGCGTGCCAAAGAGAAGAAATGAGTACCGTCGTTTCCCCTCTGTTTTGCGAGAAGATTTGGTCTGGAGGTCTACTGGTGGCGGCGATTGGTGGTGTTGCCTTATTCAGAACCCCCCTGGCAACAACTATTGAGATGACAAGCCTACAATATTGCATTAACGGGGACTCATAACGTTTGATCTTCTCGACCGTATCCTCCTGTAAGGTTCTTCCATTAGGAATTGTTGCATCGGCCCAGAAGCGTTATGTACACAAGCAACCTGCTGGTATGCGATTGAAGAGTAGCTCTTGGCTTCGCAGAGCTTCATGCAAACCATAAACACAGGTAAGGTTTGATCGTGCTTGCAAGATGAAAATATGCAATCTCTATGGGAAAGTTGCATCTGGAGCGGTGGCGTCAGCCCATCTCTAGACGTATCGTCACCTACTCAGAAAGTGCAGCTGTGTCAAAGCTTGGAGATAGGCTCCCGTAGCAAGTTTCTGACCAAACTGATGGTTCGTTCCTCAATTAAACTTGGTTCGCTTGACGCTTTTCACGGATTTTAGCGAAGGGAGCCGGTTTCCGCAGGAATTGCGGAAGATGAGGTGGCGACCCTGGCCGAGTTTGAAGCTGCCTACCTATGCACTTTCTAGCTACATGCATAGCATTGTCAACTGTGCATAGAAATAATACCCTTGCCTAAATGTGGGACACCTGATGACGTTGTGTAACAAAAACTCTACGATGCCTGGATTTCCTGGGGCTTTGGGGCTTTGGAGGCATCAGGCGCTTGGGGCCCTCGCAAGGTACTCATAGCTTATCAGTCTAAAGTGGGGTAAATGGTTGCAAGGGCTGGTTCCGCTTTAAACACCACGACGTTTGGGCTGGAAATAATTTCTTTTCACTCTTTACGGGGCCGGGGCAGCAGGGGTCCAATTAATGGTGTCGAGACCCACCCACCAATACACTCCCAATATTATATTCACCCCGAGAAAAGCTGAAAAAGAGCTGCTGACTTGGTTTTTATTCTGCGCAAGTCAATATTCCTAGTGCTGTGTGGATGTTGGAACGCTGGTACCCGTTCGAAGCGCTAGCCAGGAGTAGGACCCACAATACATGCTTTCTGAATATTAACGATAGGAGTTTAACGTTGTGTCAATTCTGCAAAACAGAGTAAAACACCACTCCTCGTAGTCTTTGGAAAAGGAAGCATAGCTTATATACTCTACAGGGAATCGACGCCGCAAGCTAATGTAATGGATTACTGCAGCTGCAAAAACGCGTTCTTGCTAATAAACACGGACGAATACTCCCTCTCCAGTTCATGCTCTTGCGGCGCTCTGGCAACTAACCGTACTGCTTGAGGCACCCAGGAAACCATGCTCCAAAACAATCGTTATTAACATTGTTCCTGAAAACTACAATTGTCAGCCGCCCAGGAGGGGCGATGCTCAAGGCGAAAATGTTCACATTAGATGTAGTAGACAAAACGAACCTTCAGGGAGTGCTAGCATCAAACAAGCCAGCGATGACACTCTGTACGCCACCAGCATCACAGCGAGCGATCATCTCTAAGCATAAAAGTTTATCCCAGTTCAATAGGAGAAAGCCTTTGTCTTTTCTACTCGCGGGCATATCTAGCGCAGTGTGCACTGCATGAATTTCTGTGGATACCAACTTGCTGTCTAACACAGCCAGACTGTCGGAGCTCTCGCTCGTGCTAGCTTGTGGCCTCCGATCAGCCTCCACCACCACCGTATTTGTTAATTCTGTGGAAGGCGCGTGCTCCATGGTGTACGCTAAGCGGCCTGAGAGTGTGCTTTGCCTCTGCAAAACAAAACGAGAAAATGCGGTTAACAGGGCAGTCCATGCATAGTTAAGCGAAGGGATAAGTGGAAGTCGCCCACCAACTTGAAAAGAACCTCTGCTGAAGACGCAGACAAGGGCAATTCTCCTCAGTCGGGCAGGCAGTGTCGTGTGACGGAAGCTTTCCTTCGAGTTTGAAGCTCTCT